AATTTATTATAATTTAAATTTTTAATAAATTTGATTTATTACAATTCATTTTATTAATATTGAAATCAAAGTTTATTTTTAAAGTATATTTTAAAAATTAAATTATTTTTAAAAAATAAATTGTAAAAAATATACTAAAACAATTAAAGTATATTTATAAAAAAATAAATTTAAATATAATAAAAAAATAATATTCATTAGCGACTAGATTTCAATTCGGTCGCTATTTTCTCATTAGCGACCGATTTTAATTCGGTCACTATTTCAATTTGTAATTCGATCGCTAAATCGATCGCTAAATGATTTTTTTATTTTAGTATGGAATAACCACCGATTTAGCGATCGAAATTTTGCGACGCAAAATATTGGTCGCTATTTCGGTCGCTAAATAAAAAAGTGAAACCAAATCATATTTTGGTGGCTAAATCGGTCGCTAAATTGCGACCGAATTAACTTGATCAGCTAATTGCGACCGAATTAAAGTGGTCGCTAAATTGATTGCTAATTGCGACCGAATTAAATCGATCGCTAAATCGGTCGCTAATTGTGACCAAAATTAAATCGGTTGCTAAATCGATTGCTAATTGCGACCAAAAAATTCGGTTGCTAATTTCGGTGGCTAAATGTATTTTTTCTTGTAGTGATATATTTATTAGGTTAATAATGTATTTAGATTTATTGTTGAAAGTAGTAAAATGATATTTTATTTGTATGATTAATTTTTTTTTAATTCTTTGATTTATTTGATATTGTAATATTTTCTTATAAATTAATAATAAATTAGGAGATAATAAACATCTTAAAAATTATATGCATATAAGATGAAATGATATTTTTATGTAAAATTATATTTTTGAAATGTATTTTTTGTATTTTTGTAATATTTTGGAATATATATATATATATATATATATATATATATATATATATATATTTGGAATATATATATTTTATATTTTAAAAATGAAAATAAGTTATATATATATATATATATATATAATTAATTAATTGGAAATTCATATATGTAAATTTTATGTAATATATATATATATATATATATATATAATTATAATTTACTTAACATTAAAAATAGTTATATTTTTATTAATTTTAAGATTATAATTTTAAATAGAATGTTTTTAACTTTATAATTATGATTTATATAATATATATAATTTATAAATAATTATTTTTTAATTTTAATTTTAATTTAATATATATTTATATTTATAATTATTTAATGTATATTTGAAAAATAATCTACTATAATTAATTATTTAAAAAATTAATCAATTATTTAAAAAAGTAATCGATTATTTCATTGAAAAACTAATCGAATCGATTAGTTTTTTAAATATACATTAAATAAAACAATATATATATATATAATAATGTTTTATTTAAAATTTATAATTTTAAATTATAATTTTAAAAAAATTTATATATTTATTAGATTAATAATATATTTAAATTTATGGTTGAAAATAATAAAATAATATTTTTTAAAATATATTATTAAATCGATGATTATATTTAGTAAATTTATAAGTCTAATTGTTTAGGAGAGATCAAGGAATTTTTTTTCTCTTCTTAAAAAAAAGTGAATTGGAGATAATTAATCTAACTATCTTATTTTATCATGATATTATAATACTCTGTAGATGAATTTTTTTATAAAAAAAATTATTTAAATTAGATAATATTTTATTTTAAATATCTCAATTCTCATCGGAAATATTTTAACATAGCAATGTATTATATATAAAGCGAAATCATGTAAAAACAAACAAATAAAAATATTTTAAATCATTTAATAATTTATACTTATGTAAATGTTAAAAAAAAAGCATAAAAATGAAAATAAACAATTTGATCTAATAAAAAAAGTTCATTAGAAGTATTTTGATTTAATTTAGTTTTTAAAAACAGTTTTAATAATTAATCTTATTTTTTAAATAAATAATTTTTTATTACTTTAAATTAATAAATTATTTTAAATAAAAGACATAATATTAATAACAAGACAACTTATAAAATTTAATAATTTTTTAGGATAACAATAATATAATTTAATTAGTAATGTACAAATATTGTTTATAAAAATAGAAGATAAAAATAAAAAGCACATTATAACTTTTTTGTTAATTTTTATAGACTAATAAAAATTGAAAAAATAATTATTGAACTAATTTTATATTTGTTTAAAATAATTATCCTAAATGTTTATACATTTTTAAAATATAACAATTCTTAATTTTATATATATATATATATATATATATATATATATATATATATATATATATATATATATATATATATATATATAACCAAATATATAGATTAATATTGCATAATAGCGTTGATTCTTGCTAATAATTTTATATGTTTGATGTTTGAAAGACTTTTAAAATTAATTTTATTATGCATCTCAGAAAACTATTAAAGTTTGAAATAAATTTAATGAAACTAAAATTATGAACAATAAATTAATAATAATAATATTTTAAATTTTGAAGAGAATGTTTATTATCTACCCTAGTTTTGTCTTTTCACTCTAATTTATATATATATATATATATATATATATATATATATATATATATATATATATATATATATATATATATATATATATACTTCAATCTATATATTATTAATACAATTTTTTATTGAGCAATCCTTAACTCAACATAAATTTTTCACTTTGAAAAATCGAACGATCTGATTTAATCCGGTAAAAAAATAAAAAATTATTGCTTATAAATAATTAAATTGAGATAAAACAAATAAAATTGAAAAAAATTAGTTCAAATTTTAGGTTTAATTGATTTTATTATTATAATATTTATAAAAATATTATTATATTTAATTTGATCGTAACACGTTAAACTCTTTTACTCTTTACCCTTCACTTCACATATTTAATTACTGATTCGATTTTAAAAGTATTGTAAATTTTTATTCATACCCTTTAAATTCAATTTTCCATTCACCATTTATAATAATAATTATAAAATATTATAGAATTAATAAAATTTTAAATTATTGATAATTTTTTTAATTATGAAGCTAAAATTTGATAATATTAATAAATTAAAAATAAAAAATAAATAAATTTATATATATATATATCACTTTAATTAATTTAATTAAAATAAATTAGTAATGTACAAACTAATATTTAGAAATAAAAATGAAAAAGTATATATTTTTTCTTTTACTAGCATTCGTTTTGAAAATATGAAAAAAAAAAGGGGGAAAAAGTAATTATATTTGTATTAATATTTTATTTTTTAAAATTAAAAAAGAAAATAAAAGTAAAAAATATGATTAAAAAAATATAATTTTTCTTATTAACATTTTACACCTTCAAGAGAAAAAAGAAAATCTTTTATTACCATTTACTTTTTAAAAATATAATATATATATATATATATATATATGAAAAATTTGATCTTATTTTTGGGCCCAATCCATAAAAAAAATATGCTTTTTGTTGAACTTAATTTCCTCTTGAAAAAAAAGATGAATAGTGATTTTGTGGGAGACCGCACACTATTCTCTTTCCCATTTTTCCATCAGGGCACCACACCTGTTCACTCTCTTCTCCCATTCTCGGCACCATCGCCCTCCCCTCATCTCATTTATGTTACACAAATGAGATATACAGGGGTGAATATAGACACAAATTTTAATAGATGTCAAATTAAAAATTTAATTGTGAGTCAATAATTTGTTTGAACATAGATAAAGTGGAAACGATAATATAATCAAGAAAAGAGAAAGAGATAAGGAAAAGAAAAGAGCACAAAGTAATTTATACTGGTTCGGGTATAGTCAACTCTACATCCAGTTCCTAGTCAACTCTTAACACAAGAGTGATTCCCAATTCACTATCTTTCAAATTCAGTTTACAAATTACAATCAACCCAGTAGAATAACATGTAAAAAGTAAACTAATTAAAAAGACAATCATCTCCTTAGAAACTCACTAAGGATGAACACCTCTGTAGAATCCCACTAGGAATGAACACCTCCTCTGAACAAATCAAAGGATGAAAAACACCTCCTTAGAATCCCACTAAGGATGAACATCTCCCTAGAACCACACTAGGGATGATCACTTCCTTGAACAAATCAAAGGGATGAAAACACCTCCTAAACCCACAAAGGATGAAGAAGTAAGATAAGAACAGTCATACTTGGGTAATGGAGACAACAAATTGTAGAAGCTTATAGAATGTCAATCTCCAAGAACAAGTGTGATTAACAATGAAAGCACAAAAGACAGTAGAGAAGAGGATTTTCTCAGAAGGTATAAAATATCTTTGTTGCCTTGCTCAGAATTCTTTTCTCAAAACTAATTAAATATAAATTGTATTTTCAAATTCTGTAATTGTGTAGTTTTTATTTTTCATCAAAACTTAATTAAATAGAAAAATAACATCAGAAAATGGTCGTTGGACATTAATAATATCATAGAGAAAATCGGGATGTATTCAAAAACATTTATTCTTTAAAACAAATATATTTTTCAAATTTGAATTGCCATAATTGATTATGTTACCGGTATAATCAATTATGACAGAGAAAATCATTTTTCCATTTCTGATGCATTATAATTGATTATGACAGTGAAAAATATTATGCTATGAATTTTATCACATTTATGCTTTGGAGGCTTATGCATAATATTACTTCATCAATTTGTACCTCCATATCTAGTATTATAAGACTCTATCTAGTCTTCAGGAATCATCTTGGGTTTGTTTGAATCATCATCTTTATCAAAAATATATCTTGGATATATAGGGAAATGTCTCACATTGTCACAAACATCTTAAATTCAGTTTGTCTTTAATTCATCTTAAATAGTGTTGACTTAAATGTAGTTGACTTGAATTATCATCAAAATCATCTCTTACGAAAATAGAAATATTTCCATCAATCTCCCCTAGTTCCTTTCATTTCGCACCCTCAACCCCACTCTCCCTCACTCATTTGCCCTCACACTCCCATCCTCTCTCACCATCAACAACCCTCACTCCCTCTCCACGACCACCTCTTCCTCTCTCAATCTCCCTTTCCCTGCATCCAACTCCACACCTCTCCTTCATCCTCCAAGATCCCTTCTCTTTCCCCTTCGCTGTCATCTTAATCGCACCATCAGCAGCCCTCAATCCCACATCTACATCCACCGCGCGGCTAACCACCACAGGTCTTAGCCGCACCACTGACCCCTCTCCGCCACTAACCCCACACCATCTTCCTTCTCAAATCCCCCGGTCAGCCGCCTCGAGTCGCCGCGGCTTCGCCACCACGGCCTAACTCCAACCACAGTCACCACCTCGAACGCTAGCCACCGCGGGTCTCAGTCGTGCCACCCCTATCGCAGCCCACACCCAGCACTAACCCTAGCCCTAGCCGCACACGATTCTCCGCAGCGCCCCCACTACCTCACTGTGCACACCACTCCTGCACCTCCACCCTTGCAGTCGCAGTCCTAGTCAACTCGAATCCATCGTGCAGCTAACCACCACGAGCCTTGACCGCACTTTCCCTGGATCCCATTCCCATCTCACCGCCACTCATCCTTAGCTCACGACCACCGTGCCTCCACCCTAGCAAGCCCCAAAAGCCCCTGGTGTCACCACTTTCCCCTCGCCCTGTTGTGCACCACGGAACCACCAGCATCCCTACTCCCTTTAACCTCCCCCAAATCACCATCGCGCACCACCAGTCCCTAAACCACCATGAATCGTGCCGCCAGCGGCCACCACGAGCTCCATCACGAACCCCCGTGCTTCCCGTGAGCATAGCACCCCCGCGCTGCGTTGACCAAATCCAAGCCGAGTGGGTTTGATTATTTTTTGTCTCTTAGAAAGACAATTTATAGTTGCATATACATCACAACAAAATTGTGTATCAGAAAGGAAGAATTTCACAATGATGGAAATAGAAAGACCAATACTGAAGGAGAAAGACTTTCGAATACGTTTTGGGAAGAAGTAGTTTAGACTGTCGTGTATATACTCAACAAATATCTAACTAAGACAATCCAAATCAAGACTCCAATTGAAATATGGAGTGGGCAAGAAACATTAATTAAATGCTTAAGAGTTTTTGGATATATCTACTACATACATGTGCCAAATAAAAAAAGGCACAAGTTAAAAGATAAGAGTATACGAAGAATCTTTTTGAGATATAACACACAAACAAAAGGCTAGAGTATATAACTTGTAAACAAAGACACTCACCATCAATTGCGATATTGAGGTTGATGAAAATGCTTCTTGAAACTCGGAAGAAGGAAGAATCATGCGAAATAATATCTTCCTTCTAATACAACAATCTTAAGAAAATTTTCAAGAAGTAGCAGAAGATTTAGGTATACTTCCTTTATCTGTACAACAACAATATTTTTCACCAGAGTCTACTCCTAGGAGAGTAAGATCCTTGGTGGATATATATCAAACATGCAACATGGCAATGCTTGAGCCTAAATGCTATGAAGAGGTTGTAAAGCAAGAAGTTTGGATCAACCTGGAATCGATTACAATGAGACTTTTACTCCAGTTTCTCTCCTAGACACAATTAGAGCTTTGATACCTCTTGCAACATAAAAAGGATGGAGCATTTATCAATTGGATGTTAAATCAGCCTTTCTAAATTGTGTATTTGAGGAAGAGATATACGTGAAGCAATCACAAGATTTTAAAAATAAAGGAAATGAAGTCAAAGTGTAAATGCTAAGAGAAACACTATATGGCTTGAAGCAAGCTCTTCGAGCATGGTATGACAGAATTGATCAATACTTCACCGATCAAGGATTCAGGAGGAGCAAGAGTGAACCAACACTATATATCAAGACTTAAGTCAGTATGATACTCTCATTGTCTCTTTATATAGATGATCTTATCTATACAGGAAACAACATAGAGATGGTAAGGAAATTCAAAGAAGACATGATAAAAACATTTGAGATAAGCGACATTGGCTTGATAAATTATTTTCTCGGCATAAAGGTAAGACAACAAAAGGAAGGAATATTTATCTCTCAAAAGTAATACACCGAGGCTTTATTAAAGAAGTCTAACATGAATGATCATATATTTGTGGCTACTCCACTCATGGCAAATGAGAAGTTACAAAAAGATGATGGAGCACCAGAAGTTGATGCATCACGCAACAAAAGTTTGATTAGAATCTTACTATATCTTACAGTTACACGACCAAATATCATGTACGTATAAGCTTTTTATCAACGTTCATGTAAAGACCAAGCCAAATTCACTTTGGAGCAACAAAAAGGATTTTAAGATATTTACAAGACACAAAGGACTTTGATATATGGTATAAAATTATGACATATTCAAAGTTGATTGACTACACTAACAATGATGGGATAGGATCTATAGATGACATGAAGAGTACATCAAGTTGTACCTTCTCACTTGGATTAGATTTTTTCTCCTGAACATCTAAGAAGTAAGCAATAGTAGCACAATCAACAACAAAGGCAAAGTACGTGGCAGTAGCTGAAACTACAAGTCAAGCTATATGACTCTAAAAAATACTTGAAAATATGGGAAAATAACAACATGAATCTATTACAATCTACTGTGATAACAATAAGAAAGAATCTAGTCCATCATCAAATAATAAAACACATAACTATTAAATATCACTTCATTAGAGATGCTGAAACGACTAAATAAATTTAACCTGATTACTGCACTACTGGAAATCAAATTGCAGATATATTTAGCAAGATACTACCAAGAGTCAAGTTTGAACAATTACGTTTTATGCTTGGAGTTACAATAATTTGTATCAAGGAGGAGTGTTAAAAGTGATGCAAATTTTTAGAAAGATCAAGAAAATTAAGTTCTAGAAACTACCTTAAGTTTTAGAAACTATTAGAAGTATAAACCTTATGTAAGTAGTCTCTAGAATTACTTAAAGAATATAGAAAGATAAGTTAAAGTGTAATGTAGGAAGAATCATCTTTATGTTCCTAGAAGATTATAAAGAGGAGTGTCTCATGTCTATATATAGGTAGTGACCCATTCACTTATAAGTGAAACACTTCTAAGGCCAATTACTATTTTTCTCTCATACAAACCTTCTCCAAGTTGGCCACTTCTGTCTCAAAACTATTTTTTGTAATCTACACTACCTAACCATCTTTCTTATTCTTCCTAAAATATTTTATAAGATTGTTGTCGATCACAAACATGATGAAGTCATGTGGTGAAAGTTTGAAAGAAAGTGTGATGGTGGAGAAAGTGTTGAGAACCTTTGATCCTAGGTTCGACATAATTTTTGTAGCTATCAAAGAGTTCAAAGATCTTGATTTATTGAAAATTGATAAACTATAAGAGTTATTAGAGGCTCATGAATGACAATTATGTGAAAGAGCGAAAGAGAAGTCAAATGTAGAACAAACACTATTAATGAAATAAAACCAGAAAAATGATGGGAATCAAGAAAAATCGAATAAGAGAAGTCGAGGAAAAGGAAGATGTAAAAATAACGGTGAACAAGACTCAAAAGGGCAACAAGAGAACTCTTTACAATTGAGAGGTGGTAGTAGCAGAAACTCAAAATGGAGAGGTGGTCGATCTAATTTTGGTGTTGGTAAGAAGAATGTACAATGTTATAACTTTCACAAGTATGACCATTATGTTGCTAACTGTTTGAGTAAAGAAGAAGAAGTGAATATTGTGATTTATCAATCTAGATGAAAATGTGAATTCTAAGGTGAAATTTGCGGATAATTTGATAGTGAACTATGAATTGAAAGGAATAATAATGATCAAAAGAAGAGATGACAAATCTGCAGTAATTTCATATATGTTCTATGTTCCAACCATAAAACACAATTTTTTGAATATCGTTTAACTTTCTCAGAGTAGATGTTAAGAGAGCAGATGTTGAGAATCCTTGATAAGAATTAGATAGCAATTTTGAAGGCACATCTGAGTAAGAACAAAGTTTTTCGAGTCGATATTTCAGTATTGAATAACTTGTGTTTTGCAGCAAAAATCTCTAATGTCAATTGGTTGTGTCATTTAAAGTATGGTAGCTTCGATAGTTTGAGCCAACTTACAAAAAAAGATACGGTGATTGGACTACCTTAAGTCCAAAAGTGTAAAGACATATGTGAAAGTTGCATGATAGGGAAACAAACAAAAATCCCTTTAAGGTGCACATCTAGATCAGAAGCAAGGATGTGTTGGAAGTTATCTACACTGATATGTGTGGACTTTTCGATGTTCCTTCACTAGGTGATAATAAGTATTTTGTGACATTCATCAATGACTATAGCAAAAATATGTGAGTGTACTTACTTGAGAAGAAGTCAAAGGTGTTTAATCAGTTCATTGATTTAAAATAGATGGTTGAAAAACAAAGTGGTAGAGTTATCAAAATATTGAGATTGGACGATGGTGGTGAGTCCAACAATTGTGATTTTGCATTATTTTTCAAGGAGAAAGGTATTATGCATAAAATAATACCCCGGTACACACCACCACACAATGGAGTTGCGAAAAGAAGAAATTGCCACATTCATTTTGGGGAGAAGTCATATCAACCAGCATTATTTTTCAAGGAGAAAGGTATTATGCATAAGATAATACCCCAGTACACACCACCACACAATGGAGTTGCGGAAAGAAGAAATTGCCACATTCATTTTGGGGAGAAGTCATATCAACAACCGTATACATCTTGAATCAAAGTTTAATGAAGAGAGTGAATGATGAAACACCAGAGGAAGTATGGTATGGGAGAAAGATAAATATAAACACTTGAGAATATTTGGCTCAATTGCATGGAGGCATGTTCCCGAGGAGAGAAGAAAGAAGCTCAATGACAGAAGCCATAAATTAATTCTGGTAGGATATCATTCAACTGGTGCATATAAGGTGTATGATCCTATCAAGAAGAAGATCATCGTCAATAGAAAAATTGGTTTTTATGAGAAAGATTGTTGGGAATGGGATTCGATGGAGGGAAACCAAAGTGTTAGCATCGATGACTTAGGTGATACATAAATAGGATGCAAAGATCGATCGTTTTCTAAAATCAAAGGAGAAGGAAATTGATCGAGTTCAACAATCAAAGGTAGCAAATATCGACCGAATTTTGAAATTGAAGAAGGCATAAATCAACCAATTTCAAGAAAGAGAAATAGATTGACAAGATCGATTAGAACACCAGCGAGACTCAATAATTATGTGATCAATACTAATAATATTGTCATAGTAATTGGACAAATGATTGGAGAAACAGAAGACGAGAATTATCTTGTATACCTAACATTGTATGTTGATGTCAAACTTGAACCAATTTTCTTTGAAGAAGCGATCAAGGATTCTAAGTGGATCAAAGCCATGAAAGAGGAGTTGTTGGCAAGTATTTATACCAAATAAAAAAGCAAAGATTTTTTCATTTTCAAATTCTATCAAATTCAATAAAAAAAGTTCTAATCTAAAATAAAAAAGGTTTACTTTTTACTCAAGTTCTCAAGAAATATTAATTAACATTTCATTGATAGATTCTTTTTTTTTCTTATTAATTTTCTTAATTATTTCTCCAATTCTCAATTAAGATAGAAATGAAATGAAAAGTAAGATTCTTGAGTAGTCTACGTAAGACCCAGGAAAAAAAATTATATATTTTAAGGTAGAAATTTGAAGTAAGAGAAGTAATTAAATTAAGAATTTAATAATATTATAGAGATGAAGAGTAACTCATTTGGTTAGATCCTTGCCTTGAGATGTGGGGGTCATGGGTTACGTTAAGTATGCTTAGGGACTTAGCAAATTTTAAATTGTCACCTTTAGAAATTATTGGTTGATGGTTGTTTTTTTGTATGCATTGTGTGTGTGGGTACATTGTAATTTTTACTATGTGTGTGAATTAATAAGAAACATATGATGGCTGATATGGTTTGGAGTAATGCTTGAGTCTTGGGGTTTGTGAGTTCAAATCCTAACTAAAGTAAAATTGAGGAAATAATGTATATTTTTTTCATAAATTGTGTAGTTTACCTTGGTAGGTGAAATTGGGAGAGGAAGGGCTTGGATCGGAAAAATAATAATATATAATTTTTAATTTAAATTATTGTTTATTTATATAGTCTAGTAAAAAAATATTTGGATTGGGAGCCAAAGAGATTAGGGCAAGCCAAGTGATCTTGGCAAGAATATCCAGGTAAGGGGTACCAAAACTTGTTTTTTTTTTTTTTTGAACCGGTTGATTTCTTGAGTTGTCAACATGGAATTGTAAGGATAGTCTTCTTGCCATCAATCCTAGGTTAAACCACCATTTATTTCATTCCTACATGAATTGGAACTAAACATGAATATTTGATAAAAATTTCGTATGACTTTTCTAGAGTATTTTGAATAATCTACAATGCTCCTTTCATATTTTAGAGTTTAGAAATAGATTCTTTAGATGTCAAAACTTAGAATTAGCCATAAAAATCACTTAAATTGGATTTTTCTAAAGGAAGATGATGAAAAATGTGTTGAGAGGTGTTGCTAAAAAAATCTGCACGTAAATAGAATCTTTGGGAAATTATATAAAAATATCTACTTGGTTTTTAATTCTGAAATTTTGGTTATATGTTACTTCATATGTCTAGTTTGTGTGTAATTTATTTCAAAATTTTCTAACAAGTAGTTTTTCTATGAAAAATCTTGGAAGTGATTAGGTTTTGAGTTGGGCGAAACAGGTTGCTATGTCCGTCCAGAAACTTTGAAAAATCATATAAAATCGAGATTGAAGTGTTTTGAGATGAAATTTTTATCGTAGTTTTGATTGTCTGTATATATTAATTATATTTAATTTTATAATTTTATAACCATGTTTTTATTTTATAAAAATATATCTTTGAGTACTGCCCTGGTAGTGGAATCTTCAAAATGATGTTATTCTTGTTTTCATTTCATGTTGCTACTGCTGCTGTTGCTTTATTTTATTATCGCTGCTGTCTATATTATTTTGGTGCAGAATTTGTGGGAGTTATATGTTAAAATCCTTAAATGTAAAAAAATACTTGAATTATGATATGATGTCATTATATGATGAGTTTAGGTATATTTGATCTGTGATGAGATGTTGTATGCATATGTGTGTATATAGGTGAGGGAACAGTATGAGTTCTTTGATAGCCGTAAATCCAAAATAATTTCTTTATCTAGAGGACTTTGTCGAGTCATGGTAAAAGGGTTTCGTTCCTCCGTAAGTCTTTAGGATGAGCTTAGCAAGAGTGCTCCATCCAATGCTTTGTCGAGTGAGTGGAGTTGTTGCTTGTAAGTCTATGAAAAGCAGGGGAAGAGACTTTTTCAAGAGGCGTTGGTGCACAGGAAAAGTATGGGGGGTTGACTATGAAAGAATGTTATACCGTTTATTTTTACTTTGTAGTAATATGATAGGGACTTTTCCAAGAGGCGTTGGTGCGCACGAAAAGTATGGGGGTTGACTATGAAAGAATTTTATACCGTTTGTTTTTATTCGGTGGTAATATGATAGGGACTTTTCCAAGAGGCGTTGGTGCGTAGGAAAATTATGGGGGTTGACTATGAGAGAATTTTATACCGTCTATTCTTACTTGGTGGTAATATGATAAAGTGTTATTGTTGTAGTATTGAAAATATGTATTTGTGGATATTATGAATGAGTTTTGTTACATTATGATAATGCTAAGTAAATTATATAATGACATGCATGATATGTGGTGGGATATATGTTTTGCTCACCCTTGCATGTTTGTGGTGTTGGTTTCCACCTGCAATGATTGTATGACTTGTGTTATTCGGGAGTAGATGTTGATGCAGATATTGTTAGAGAAGCTTAGCAGTGAGTAACTCGCGGGAAAGCTTTTTGGGAGTTTTTTTTAAGATATTTGAAAATGTCCTTTTGAATATAATGTAATAGTGTATATTTTGAGTTTGCACTGGGAAGATTTGATATTAAGTCTCATTTTGATGATTTAAGTTAGTTGTTTGGATGAACAAAATTTAATTTTGACGAATAAAGAGGTTTAGGATAAATCTTTTGGAAAATGATACTTTGACAACCCAAATCCATACAACTTCTATAAATAACTTTCTTTTAATATTATAATAATAATTTTAATTTATTTTTATTTTTATTAAATCATTCTATAGATTATTATATTAATAAAAGTGAGTTGTTTGGAAAGTTGTATGATTTTTGGTTGTCAACATATCACCACTCAAATCTTTTATCAAGTGTTATTTGAGATAAAATAATTATGAAAAAAAAATTACATGTGGCATCTCAAAAGGAGTGTTACAGTCTACTCCTTCGAATGCATAATCTTCTTAAATTTATTAATTAAATAAAGGAGTATCCCCAAATTCATAAGAGACTTACTTGTCTATGCATCATTTTACATTCAATCTTTTGGGTCCAAATATCGCCTAGATGATTATGTCAGGATGTTTTTAAGCCTATATGTGATATATAGACTTTAGCAACCATGATATATTTACTTATTTGAAATGAACATAGGTTTAGTTCTTTCTAAAAAAAGATGGAATAACTCATTCAACAAGAAAAAGAAAGATTGATTTTTTTTTTTCACGAAATGTGTACAGTTAGAAATTTATATTTAGAATTTCATATTTTTTTTGTTACTGAATTGACCCTAGACCAATTCCCTTTTTATTAGGGAGTATTCAATACATCCATAATTCTGAGCTTCATGTTACTCAGCCCAAGAGACATGTCAGATTCAGGGCATCCCAATAAAATGAAATGACAGTTTCTCATTCGGAATCTGTACAATAAAAATTTTTATCAAATCACACATCGCAGTATACTAGACTTTCTAATTCTTTTAGAGGTTTATCTAAAAGATTTGCGATATAACTAGGAAGACGTTTCAAATACCACGCATGAGTTACTAGACATGCCAGTTTTATATAGCCCATTTGATATCTACGTATTCGAGAATCAATAAATTCTACTCCGCATTGTTCACAAAATTTTGGGTCGTCCTTTTGATTTCTGATTACTCGATAATTTCCACAAGCACAAATCCCACTTTTTATAGGCCCAAAAATTCTTTCACAAAATAATCCATCTTTTTCAGGTTTATTGGTTTTATAATGAAAAGTATAGGGTTTTGTTACCTCCCCCACTATCTCTCCATTAGGTAAGATTCTTTTTGCCCAAGCACTGATTTGTTGAGGAGAAACTGATCCAATTCGGAGTTGTTGATGTTTATACTGATCAATCATAGAATAAAAATTCGGATTCAGTCCAATTAAGCTTCCTTCCTACGAATCCGTAAGTTTTTCTCAGATACAAGGAAATGATTCAGTTCCATAGCTAAAGATCGTAATTCTCGAACGAGCAATCGAAAAGATTCTGGAGCATCTGTAGGTTTAGGTATTGTTCCTCCAATGATCGTAGTTCCGAGTACTTCTTGGCGAGTTTGAATATGATCAGATTTATAAGTAAGCATCTCTTGTAAAATATGAGCAACACCAAATCCTTCCAAGGTTTTTGTACAAATTATGTTCTTTTTTTAAAAAAGGATAAGGAATAAGATTTTTGTTGTTTGATCTTTTTTGTTTCGTTCGTATCCTTTGCAAATTTTTTTCGACATTCATTCTTTTCCTTTTTTAGAAATTCCATTGCTTTCTTTAATTTCTAACAATTTTTTATTCAAAAAGGGAGGGGTATTCTTCCTAAATAATATAAATAGGTAACACATAAGAAAACAACAAAAAATTTAAACATAAAATTTCTAAATTCTGACAGAATGTATTTATTTCTTTGAATACATGTATTAGATTGAATCAAATTCTTTTGTTGTGTGCAAACTAAAAAAATTAAATTCATTTAACTAAAAAAGTATGACCTATTATCCAACCAATAAAACTACTTGTTAAAAATAACAATTTATTTTTATTGTTTATCAAAAAAAATAAATATTTACTAATTGGTAAAAAAAAAAGGATTTAAAAACTAAAAGTTAAGATTCTGAAATAAGATTCTTTAAATACTAAAATTACGTATTGAATTTGGATTCTTGTATCCATAATTAAAAAAAATATTTTTACTATTGCTGAAGAAGTGAAAGAAAAGATAGGGTATATCTATGACAGCTTATTGTATGAGGTCTACCCAATGCTAAATGCAAAGGCGTGAACATTATGTGTTATCCAGTAATAAACCCAGTAGTGGCTAATATTTTCTTATAAGTTCATTCTTCCACAAGTCTAGCTCAAAGAAGGAAGGGATAAGAGGGTACTATGGAAAATGTAGTCAGAAATTCATAATAGAGTCCTACTACAACTATTGAATTACTTATCTCCATGCATAAGAATATTAGATTCTCCCGTATAAAATATTGAAAATCATCTCAAACCTCTCTTCTTCTTTTCTATTGTAATTTTTGGATTATTATATAACGAATTTTCAATTTTCAATTTTGCATAATTTTCCATTTATAGAAATAGATAGACTATAAATAGAAACGACTCTCTTATTAGATAGAAAAGATTAAATTAGGTATTTCATATATATGGTTAGTTTATATATAACTAGTTCATCTATAATATCATATCACATATACATAGGTTTCTTCTATGTTGTAAACTCATTTTCTTTGTGTTTTAGATTCAATTGAATTTGAAATTCATTCTTTGAAACCTTAAAAACAAAGAAAGAGTTCTTATAGTGATCAAATTATATACACCCAGCTGACCCTCTCACTTCTACTTTTTTTTATCATGGTTTTTTAAAGTCACCCTTTCCTCTTTTATTTTTTTCCCATATGGATACAATCAATCTAAATCAATTTGATAGATTTCATTATTATTTCAAAGAAATATCATAATTGGGGTGATCAAAATGTTTTTAATTCTCTTTTGATCAATCATTGAATGTAAATGAAATAGGAATCTACTTTAGTTCTATGTAGTATCTTTTTATCACAAATCGTAAACGTAAATATTATACAGAATTCTAATTCTAGCTATTCATTTTTTTTCCGAATATCTAATATCTACAAATATATGCTAATCAAATAGATATATAGATGTTTACTTAGTGGATTTTCTTGAGCCACTATATATGTGTAGCAAGCTAAACAAAAAAGATTATTTTTTAGAAAATTAGTTAATGATGGCCTTTAATGGATGTTGTGCACAAAGTGTGTGGGTATCCTCCAAAGTCCCACATCGGGTAGTTTGAAGAAGGAGAGTGGTAGACTACTACTAAATAAGGGGTGATAGTTTGGGTCTACTCACCACAATAACACTAATCTTTGGGTGTATTGGGGACTAGGTAGTAGAGAGTTTGCAATTTTTACATGTAAAAATTATATAAAAGGATTTGCAATTTTGTCGTGTAAAAATTGCAAGTTGAGAAATGAAGAGTTGTTGAGTGTGTTAGTCGATGTAGGCAAGAAGTGTCGAACTATGTTAATTTCTGAGTTTGTTTCTCTCATGTGTGCTTCTGCATGTGAAGATTTCTTTTCCCCTTTGGTACCCAACAGTGGTATCAGAGTTGTTGGTGTGGTAGGGCTTTGTGGGATTCTTAATTCTTAGTATGCTCTGTGATTTCAACATTATCTGATCTTCCACATCATAAAAGAATTGAGGTTTTGTTTAAGGGACATCAGAAAAGAATTGAGGTTTTGTTAAAGGGAGGAAGAGAAGCAGTGCTAGGTTCTAGGTTCTGTCTAAAGAGGAAGATAAAGCAGTGTGTCTTAGAAGAATAGTACATTGCTACCAGTTGTCATTATGATGGATTAAGTGAGACTTTGGATGAAAGGAGGATATGTTGTACCCAAAGTGTGTGGTAGGCATGACAACGGGGCAGGTATTGGTTTTGCCTCCTCGATCCCCGCCCTCAACTTTTTTAATCATCTCCGTCCCCGATTCTTGCCGGGGTTAGAAATTAAGTCTTCATCCCCGTCCTCGCTCCCGCTCCGTCCCCGATCCATTATTTTTAAAAAGATAATTACATTTATAATAAATTAATTTTACTATCTATTTTTTATATATAAATAAATATTTATAATTTTATAATTTATAATTATTATTAATTAAATATAAATTTTAATTTATTATATTTATATTAAAATATGTATGTAAAAGAAATATTTAATCATTTTTTATTTATAACATTATTATTATTATAACATTGTATTCAAATATTTGAATACTTATAATATTATTATTATAATACTGTATTCAAATATTTGATTATATATATAAGTTAATTCATTTTTAAGTTGTCATTTAAAAATATGAAATATATAATTTATAAGGAAATATTTAATAAGTTAATTCTTATTCAATTAGTTCGAAGTAATAAAAATTTAAATTATCAATTCCTTTAATCCTTTAAAATACAATTATTTTATTAAGCTAAAATTTGATATATGATAAATAAGAATAATAAGATAAAAAATATGACATAATAAAACCTAATAAATATAAATTATAAATAAAATAATATTAGTTACTACTAAGATTTATCTAAAATATTTAGAAAAAGATAAAGAATAAAAAAAATTAACTTTGTGTTCATCAAATTGGTTGAAAAGATTGAAAATAAAAAAAAACAAATTGATAGAAGAGATTAAGGAAATGTGAAAAACTGAAAGGTAAGATAGAGAATAATGTAATAAATTAATTGATATAAAAGATTAAAAAAACAAAAAAATTAAAAAGTGGGTAAAAGAAAAATAAAAATTGCTGAAATATAAAAAAATGACCTTATATGTAATAGAAAAAGAAAAGGAAATACTTTTAAAATATTAATATTTTAAAATTTAAATTTAAATATAAAGTTGGGACGGGGACATGGTCGAGGTCGGGGTGGGGATTGCATTACCCATCCCCGCCCCCACTCCCGACTTTTTAAAGCAAGGAAAACCTGAACTCGCCCCCACCCTTGTTCAACTCGGGTTTTCGCCGTAAAACTCGGGGCGGGAACGGGTCGATCCCTACGGGTACGAGTTTAATTGTCATCCCTCGTGTGTGAGTATCTTCCAAAGTCCCACATTGGGTAGTTTGAAGAAGGGGAGTGATAGACTACTACTATAAATAAGGGGTGATAGTTTGAGCCTACTCACCACAACAACACTAGTCTTTGAGTATATTGGTGACTTTGATAGTTGTGTGTCAAGAGAGGGTGTACAATTTTTCCATGAAAAAATTGTATGAGAAGGTTTGCAATTTTTCTGTGCAAAAATTGTATAAGAAGGTTTGCAATTTTGTCTTGTAAAAATTGTATGAGATGATTTGCAATTTTGTCCTTGTAAAAATTGCAAGTTGAGAAATGAAGAATTGTTGAGTGTGTTAGTGGATGTAGGCAAGAAGTGACGAACCATGTTAATTTCTAAGTTGCAAGTTGAGAAATGAAGAATTGTTGAGTATGTTAGTGGATGTAGGCAAGAAGTGACAAACCACGTTAATTTTTAATTTGTTTCTCTCTTGTGTGTGCTTTCGCAGGTGAATATTGTTTTTCCCCTCTGGTACCCAACAATGGATTCCCCTACATAAGCCGCATCTAAAGTAGCAAAAATTAGAGCTTGAATACCACTTGTGAATAATCCAAGGAACATGACATGTATAGGAACTACTAAAGGTACTAAAGAAACAACACTACAAAAAAAACACCAAATAGTGACCGAAAATTCGGTCCCTAAATGTGCAAAATCGGTTACTAATTAAAATAGTGACCGAAATAGTGACCAACTGGAATCGGTCACTATTTCCTTGGTCACTGATTTTAGTGACCGATTCAGTGACCGAATCAGTGACCGATTATATATAACCAAATCGGTCCACTGAATCTGTCACTAAATCAATGAAAAAGTTAATCAATAACAAATTTAATTATTTTTTATTTATTTTCCCTATCTCTTAATTATATTATATTTTGCTTATTTAAGTTTTTATTTATATTTATTTAGTTTAACTTATTATTAGGTGGTTTATTGTCATTGTCGGGATTCGAATCCGGTACCTTAGAGTTGGAGGTCGAAACTCCAACCACCGAGCTACTAGGATCTTTTAATAATAACTTACAAATAAATTATATTTATATACAAATAAATGTATATCCGTATAAATATATAAATATAAAATCTATAAATAAAAATATATTTATATATTTTAATATATATTTAAATATTTTAATATATATTTTAATATTGATATATTTAAATATTGATATATTTATATAGCATAATGTATATTAATATATGAGGGGATAA